AGTTGAACATTTACCTCAAGTAGATACTCTCCTTGGAGAGAACAATCATGGGAGAAAGAAGGGCTGCTTATGCACAGGGAGATAGCTCAGGGAGCAGAAGTCCATGGAGGGATGGACACAGGGAAGAGGTAACTATGGGGAGAGAGTGGGAGGGGAGCTGTTGCATTGTGGTAAACTGTGGTCAATGTCATGAGACAAAGTATATGTAAACTGCTGTATGGAAAGTGTATTTGCTCTGTAAATCTTCACCCAAATCACAATAATAATAAAAAATTATTATTATATGATATATGAAAATCTATCTAACTATAAATCTTAAAATAGATTTTTTAATATTTTTTATATTTTTTGGTGTGTGAGAGGATATTGAAACTGCTTTCTCCCTCTGATTGTATGCTTAGGGCCTGCTACAGTAAGCTGTGGTGCTTAAACAACTCTGGCATTTGGTTTCAGTAATAACTGACAACACCAATGCCAACTATATAAAGTAGAAGGGTGATTACCACATTAGGACTGAGACCAACTTTATAAATGAAGTGAATATTGAAACCCTGGGAAAAACAGGAAAGGTAAAATTTAGGTAAAAACTGAACAAAATAGACTTAACATAATCTGAGACACTGGACGGTATGAAGAATGCAGTATCAGGATTGAAGAAAGATTGATTAACAACCTGCGATATGCAGATGATATAACCTTGTTTGCTGAAAGTGAACAGGACTTGAAGCACTTACTGATGAAGATCAAAGACTATAGTCTTCAATATGGAGTACACCTTAACATAAAGAAAACAAAAATCTTCACAAATAGACCAATAAGCAACATCATGATAAACAGAGAAAGGTTGATGTTGTAAGGATTTCATTTTATTCAGATCCACAATCAACGCCATGGAAGCAGCAATCAAGAAACAACATATCGCATTGGGCAAATCTGGTGCAAAGACCTCTTTAAAGTGTTAAAGAAAAAAAAAAGATGTCATTTTGAAGACTTGAGAGTGCCTGATTCAAGCCATGGTAATTTCCGTTGCCTCACACTCATGTGAAAGCTAGACAATGAATAAGGAAGACCGAAGAAGAATTGATGCCTTTGAATTATGGTGTTGGCAAAGAATATTGAATAGACCATGGACTGCCAGAAGAATGAACAAATCTGTCTTGGAAGATGTATAGTTAGAATGATCCATAGAAGCAGGGATGGCATGACTTTGTCTCTCATACTTTGGTCAGGTTTGCAGGAGGGACCAGTCCCTGGAGAAGGATATGCTTGGTAAAGTACAGGGTCAGCAAAAAAGAGAAAGACCCTAAACAAGATGGATTGACACCATGTCTGTAACAATGAGCTCAAGCATAGTAATGATAGTGAGGATGGTGCAGGACCAGGCAGTGTTTTGTTCTATTGTACACAGGGTCACTATGAGTCAGAATTGACTGGACTACACCTAACAACAATAACATTTCTTTCCATTCAAAATACTTTTTAGAGTAGTAAACATCTGAAGAACAAATTGGAACCATAACTGAATAAAAACAAAGATATTCACTGATTGTTGTCACTGTACATTCTCTTTCCTGATTAGAATGGCCTGTGTGGTTGTTGTTTTCCATAAAGACAATCCTAGACTCCTTCCTTAAGCCCCAAATTCTGAAACTCAGTTAAAGGAGAAATACAATACTGCAGGTCTATCTTAGTTCGTTTTCTTCCTAGTTAGAGGTAGTATTGGACTGATGGTTGTCTAGACCCATACTGCCTTCACTTTACACATTAATTGAAAATAAAACAAAAATTAGGCCAGAATTTTAATTTTAATTTTTATGCTTCTTTTGACCAGTCCTGTGATCTTGGACAAATCTATTCAGGGTTTGGGTGTTTTTTTTTTTTTTTTTTGTCTCAGTTTCACCTTCTTTGTTGGGAAAATAATTTTGATTTCTCAGGATGAGCTTAGACTTTTCACATCTTATTTTTAAAAACCTTTGACACACCCTACTATCTATGCATCTAAAATGATATCCACCCACATAACATTTTAAATTGCTGATGATCTTTGCAGATGGATTTGAGTAAATTTATTGCTGTGAATGGAGCAATTGCATATCCTCATTATGACCCAGAAGGAACAACATACAACCTGGGGAACTCCTATGGGCCACAGGGTAAAGTGAAGGTCTAGTTTTGAATTTGTTTATTTATTTAATTTAGATTATTTAGCTATGACTACACAAAGATGATTTACTGTGCACACATTATACTCAGTTACAACTGAGAACAGAACTAGTCCAAAATGTCATAGGTCCAGGGCAAAGGATCAAAAGGGATTGATGTAGTGTGAGCAAGGTGGGCCTCTCAGAGGTATTTGTGGTGACTGAATAGAGATGGAAGTTCTAGATCCACTGGGACAGATGTTCTGGGCAGTAGCATAACAGTCAATAACTTATACCAGTGTCTACAGCCTCTGGCATTTCATATTCCTGCTACTGTGACCTCCACAGTACACACACTAGTGTTTACTTGGACCTCTGTCACATCTCTGTTCTTTTGCACTTCAGCCTGCACATTCACTTCTTCTTCCACTTGGCTGTCATGGTTTGGAGGTTTTTAACAAGATGACACTAAGACCAAGAGAGATGGCAGTCTTTTTAGAAATAATTGGGAATTAGTTTCTCAGGGTCCTATTCTGACTAAGATGTAAACATATGTAACTTCATTTAGAAAGGTTTGGAAGGAGATCTCCATAGTGGTATCACTGTGCTTAAAATGTATAATTTCTTAATAAATATTTGCTCCATGGTCCTTTTGCACATTTGCTTACCAGCTGATTTTGTTTGACCTTTTCAGCAGGACAGTTACATATACATGAGTCACACTTCTCTGGCTGCTCCATTGTGCTTTTTGGCTTACAAACATTGTAAGCCTTTTCAGTACAGATTTTGTACTGAAACTTTTAAGAAGTATGATAAGTACAAGAAACTTAAAATGCTATAGCTAAGAGATACAGGGTAGATACAATGTCTATCACATGTTGTTGTTGTTAGGTGCCATTGAGTCAGCTCAGACTCATAGTGACCCTATGCACAATAGAATGAAACACCACCCAATCTTGAGCTGTCCTCACAATCTTTGCTATACTTGAAACCATTGTTGCAACCACTGGGTCAATCCAAACCATTGAAGGTCTTCCTCTTTATCACTGACCCTCTGCTTTACTGAGAATGATATCCTTCTCCAACGACTGGCCCAGTCTGACAACATGACCAAAGTATGTGAGACAAAGTCTGGCTGTCCTACTTCTGAGAAGCATTCTGGCTGTACCTCTTCCAAGACAGATTTGTTTGTTCTTCTGGAAGTCTGCAGTGTTTTCAATATTCTTTGCCAACACCACAATTTGAATGTATTAATTCTTCTTCAAACACACACACACATACACACATACACAGACACACATGCGTGCGCACATGCACACACACAAATTCTTCTTCAATCTTTCTTATTAATTTTCTGGCTTTCATATGCATATGAGGTGACTGAAAATACCATGGCTTGGGTCAGGTGCCTGAGTTTTCAAACTGACATTTTTGCTCTTTAGCACTTAAAAGAGGTCTTTTGCAGCAGATTTGCCCAGTGCAATATGTCCTCTGATTTATTGACTGCTGCAAGCTCTCACGTATCACAAAGGAAGGATTTTTTTTTTCTTTTTTTAAATCATGGGAATAATACACTGTAAAGTAAGTTAAAATCATAGTGTGGTTGCATTCACAACCGCTTACTTTTTTTCCTGGTCATCCACATTCTTATTTTATAACTTTCTACCAGTCTGCTGCAGTCTGCCCACAATATGCTTGTATTAAGCGTTTTCCCATGTGTTTTCTTATTTAATCCTTAAACCAACTCCCTGTCCATTTTATAGACAAAAGCAGTGAAACTTGATGAGCTTTAAGTCACTTAGGGAAGCAGCCTCTAAGTGTCTGAGACTAGACTTGGCCCCAAGCTGGTGTTTCACACAAAAGGTTGCTATTTATAATTAATTAGTCACTCTGCTAGTCCTTCTCATTAGTTACTTATCGCTGAGTACACAAGACTATACCGATATCGTTAGTACCCAATCTCCACCTATTTACCATTTCTTCCTACCTTGTTTATAATGACCTACTTTCTAAGGGCAAACATCCCTATATCTAACTACACATATCTCTTTCAAAAGGAATATAAAATTTTATGCTTTAGATATTTTTGACTATTTCTTTTAGCTGTCAGTCAACCAATCACCTACACTTTGTAAAACATTTGTGTAGGTTAATGGTATACTTTTGGTGATTAATTGGCTTTGTGGGTTTCTCTTTCTACTTCTCCATATTTGTATGTACCATACATATTTACACACACTGTGAGAAGGATGTGAGTGAGTGTACATGAACATGAATACTGCAGGTTTCTTTGTCTCTGGCTCAGGTTGAGATAGGGTGCTCTAGAAACTCCATCATCCAGTTCTCTCCTCTTTATTGCCTGATCTCACCAAGGGATGTATTCTTCACAGTGATTATAAGAAACAGCAAAATTCTTTCAGATAAAATATTTCAGCAAATGGACAAAACTGATTCAGTAGTTTTTTGTATCATCCATCTTTTGATCACTAAAAAAATCCACTTCTTAGCAAATTAACTCTATTAACAATTATGTATTATATATTCTAAAATAAACCATCACTAGATCAATGATTCTCAGGCTTTAGTGTACCTAAGAATCATCATCTGGAATGCTTGCTTGCTAGATGTAGATGACAGGACTTTATCTTCAGAGATTCTGGTGCAATAGAACTGAAAAGGGTCCAGAAATCACATTTTAATGATTCCTCTTCCTCCCCATCTTGGTGCATTTCAACAGGACCCCTATCTTGATGCAGGTGGTCCCTGGGTCTCAGCTTGAGTCTTTGCCACTAGTTGTCAAAGGCTGTGCTTGTTACTTTGCCTCATTTTGCTGTTTATACAAGCTCCAGGAGAGTTTGCTAGAGATAAAGGCTCACAGTATTGGGCAGGTCAGATACTTCTGAGTACTTCTCTATTAGGTGTTTCCTGCATGTCTATCTACCTTGCAGCTAGAATTGTTCATTAACTTCTGTTGTTGTTGTTAGATGCTGTCGAGTCATTTCCAACTCATAGTGACCCTATGCACAGCAGAACGAAACACTGCCTAGTCCTGTGCCAGCCTCATGATCCTTGCTATACCTGAGCCTATCATTGCAGCCACTTTATCAATCCATCTTGTTGAGGGCCTTTTCCTTTTTCATTGACCCTCCACTTGATCAACATGATATCTCTCTCCAGGGAATAGTCCCTTCTGACAACATGACCAAAGTAGGTGAGACGGAGTCTGGCCATACTCGCCTCTAAGGAACATTCTGGCTGGGCTTTTTCCAGGACAGATCTGTTAGTTCTCCTGGAAGTCCATGGTACTCTTAGCATTCTTCTCCAACACCACAACTCAAAAGCATCGACTCTCTGGTTTTCCTTATTCATTGTCCAGCTCTCACATGCATACGAGGCAATTGAAAATACCATGGCTTGGGTTAGGTGCACCTTAATCTTCAAAGAGATATCTTTGCTCTTCAGCACCCCAAACAGGTCTTTTGCAGCACATTTGCCCATTGCAGTATGTTGTCTGATGTCTTGACTGCTGCTTATATTGGTGTTGATTATGGAACCAAGTAATTTGAAATCTTTGACAACTTCAATCTTTTCTCCATTTATCATGATGCTGCTTATTGGTCCAGTTGTGAGGATTTTCATTTTCTTTTTTAGATTTTGAGATGATTTTATTTATTTATTTATTTATTATTATTATTATTGTGATTTGGGTG